GTATCATGCGGCTGGTCTCGCCGGTCAAAGGGCCGTGTTCATGTACATAGCTGAGCGCGTACGTCCTTTGTGGGCTCCCTAGTCTAGGAGGCAAACGAACCGACCTCGCCTGTGACCACCCTCGCTTCCAAAAAGATTCTAAGCGGTGCCGAGCTTCGGCCCGCACGGGTCAGGCCGCGTGACGAGGAGGCGCGCGGCACGACTTGGTTCTGTCTGGACATGAAGGCGGGGTAGGTAACTCACGCTCCGACTGTCTGTCCCATCGCGCAGCTGTCCGCGCTGAGTCAAAGTCAGAGCCCGTGCGGAGTCAACGTCGACACCGTGCCAACGCCACGCAGAAAATCCACCCCGAACCCGAGCCCAACTTACGAGCGGAGTGCAAGAGCAGACCGCCATCCGCAGGAAAGGACGCCGAAGGCCCCCCGAAGATACACCGTTTGGGGCAGGGATCGACCTAAACGTGTTTTTGTCGTTGTCGGTTTGTTGTTTTTTTATTTCGTTTTGTCTTCAATCCGCCTTTGCCGCAGAACGAAATGGAAACGAAAACGGCCCACGAAATCGTCAACACACATCGTTCAGGTCGACCCCTCGTTTGGGGAGCAACAACAGCAGCGATGACACGGCGCCGCGGGGAGTCCATCAGCGTGCGACTGCTGAGAAGCACCACGCGCTCGCGCAAAGCAGGAGACGACACGCTGACGGGTTCCCACTGGCGGCGTGCCCGGAGACACCACGAGGTATTTATTTGGTGCCGCTGCGCCCTGGGGTGCGTTCGGGCCAAACTTCCGAGGAGACTCCAGCGGTGGCGACGAAGGCTTCCCAGAAGGGCCAAGAAGGCGCCAGCGAGGCCCTGGTAGCGGTGTGCACCGCTGCCTCCTCTGAGTGTCGCTGGCGCTCTGATTGACTTTGTGCTCTATCACGCTTGACCTGGCATCGCTCGGACGTGTGCATTTTTCCTTCGGCGAGGACCATCGAGGACCATCCTTGATCATTTGACGAAAAACCGCGCACGAAACCTAAAAATCCACAGGGAATGGACGTCCGAGCGATGGCCAGTTGACAGCTGTCGCTACCCTGCGGGGTGAGGGGGGGGGGCGCGTGTGTGCGTGCGGCAGGCTCGCGCCGCGTCGACCCCGCGCGCGCAACCGTAACCGCAACCGGGCGACACCTCTCACCTCGGGGACACACATCACGGGTCATTTTGCCGTCGTCTTTTCGGTGTCCGCTCACATGCGGTCCTCCTGCAAAGAAGGTGAAGAGGAAGGACGGAGGGATGGAGGAGGGAGGGAGGAGGGAGGAGGAGGAGGAGGAGGAGAGGGAGGGAGGAAGGAGGGAGAGGAGGCAGGGAGGGGAGGAGGGAGGAGGGAGGGAGGGAGGGAGGATCACGTGGAAGAGGAGGAGGAGGGGGGGGAGGAGGAGGGGAGAAGAGGAGGAGGACGAGAGAGACGGGGAAGAGGAAGTTGGGCAGGATGGCCTCGAGGAGGAGGAGGAGGAGAAGGAGGAGGAGGACGACGACGATGAGAAGGGGTATGCTGCGGTGGTCGTGTTCGATGGGGTTGTTAGGAGCAGGCGCCGGGGACCCAATGGCCTAATAGGAACATGGAGGGCCAGGAGGTTGCGAAGGAGGAGGGGGAGGCCGATGAGGGGGAATCCCATCCCACGCTGCTGCCTCTGATTACACCTTCGGAGCTCCGCGCGGATTTCCCGGATCGGCGCGGGGAGGCCCTCCTTGGCGGCGTCGCCAGGGCTGCCCCTGGCGAACTCCGCGCGCAAAGGGGGGGGGGGGTCTTGCGCCGATCCGGAAAAATTCTCGCGGACCTCCGAAAGCGTATCTAATAGCCTTCGGCCCATCCCTCCACCGGGCCTGGGTTGTGGGTATGAAGCGTATTGGATGATCGTTGTGATCTCGTGGGAGGCGTCTCGGGGGCCCCTGAGAGATAGTTTTCACGCCTCTTGGGGGCCGTCTGGGGGCCTCTTGGGGCCTCTTTCGTGTCTCTTGGGGGCCGCTTGGGCCCCAGGCTGCTCTCAGGAGGCTCGACGATGCGCCCAAGAAGCACCTGAGAGCCTGAGGGGCCCCCAAGAGGCCCTCCGCTCTTCCTCTCCTCCCCTCGTCGTTCTTCTTCGCGTGAAGCTCGGATTGCCGGCGGGCGTCCTTGTATCCCACAAGGCGGGTATCCAGTGTCGCCAGGGAGGCGGGTGGGGTGCGGCCAGATGGGGGGAGCAGGAGCAGGCGGTCTGGAGGCGACGCTGGAGGAGGACGGAGGAGGAAAAACACGAGGAGCAGAAGGGGGGGAGACGGAGGAGGAGGAGGAGGAGGAGGAGGAGGAGGAGGAGGAGAATATGGCATTTGTCGCGGATGAGGGGCAATTGGGCTTCCCAGATGGGGTCCGATTAGATGTGGGCAGATGTTTGGCTCGATGTGGAGCCCGATTTCTCCACGCCGGCGTCGCCGATGCATCGCCGACGTGGCGGATGCATCGCCGATGCATCGGCGATACCTCGACGATTGAAAAGGAGGATTTTCCTGTATTCTCCTCTCCTCTAACCTCCTGAGGGCCCAGCGTGCTGAGAGCCTCAGAGGATGGTGTACAACATGTACGTCTCGTACTCCTCAAAACACTGTGCACTGCAGAGCAGTGAATGATGTCCCACCAATGTCGATAATCTCGCGATCAAGCCAACTAGCCGAAGGCGAGAGATCTCCTTTTCAAGCTATGCTGGCGCTGCGTGACCAAACGTGCGATGAAACGTATAACGAACACAATCCAGTCCAAAGCATTGAACGAGAACGGTAAAGTGTGCGTACACATCGCAAAACCATGCATACATCCTCAGGCGGGTGGGTCAATGCACTACCAGGCTCCTCCCATCTCCTTAACAACGGGCGCTGGCACAGAAGCGCGAGCCCGATGTACTGGCCGGCCTCCGTAAACGTATACATCTGGATGAATGGCCAGATCGGTCATTGTCACCACCGCCACCCCACAACAGCTTAGGTTCCTAAACAGGAGTCTATAGACCACAGTGGGACGCATGGCCCAGTGTGGGTCCCCTCGTGCCTCGTCGACCGTCCGCATGCTGGCCTGCGCGTCGCCCGTCATGGACACGTGGGACTTCGTGAGGGAGCACGGCACAAGCAACACCTCGTTGGACTCCAGCCCACTCGCTGCCTCGCCTCGCAAACGGCAATACGAGACGCCCTCCCGCACACTGCATCTGGCCCCCGCCGGCAGTGCCGTTCCCAAGTTTGCCGGCGACCCTCGGGACCGGGTCCCGAGCGGCGAGGCCCCCCTTCCCAGACCCTTCCCGAGAGGAATGGTTCTTCGGAGGATGACGATCATGAGGAGGAGGTGGAGGAGGAGGAGGATGACGACGACGACGAGGAAGAGGGGGAGGGGGAGCAGGAGGAGGAGGAGGAGGAGGAGGAGGAGGAGGAGGAGGAGGAGGTCCCGATCTACGGGAGGGATTCGTGGATGTCCTGGTCGCACGTAATTGTTCTTCCTCCTCCTCCTCCTCCGCGTCAAGGCTTTGGGCTCGTCTTCTTCGTGGTGATCCTCGTGCTGTTACGGCGTTCCTCCAAGGCCGCCCGGGCGCTTGGCACCTTGCATCTCGGTAATCCACCCTGTACAGTGAGCGGCTTTAATAAGTAACACTTACTTTTCAAAAGGGGCTCGGTCGTTCCTTAGGCTTGCATGCGTTATTTATCGTTCCCTGCGCGTCATTGATGATTCGTTCATCGTTCCCTGTGCCTTATTCCTTGGAAGACAGGGGCTTCGTTCCTTATCTCTCGTTCCTTAGGTCAGGCCGGTGACTGTAGGGCAACGGCGTTCGGTCCCTCGGGGCAACGCTAGGGGGGGGGATAGGTTCAGCGGGGTGGGCGCATCGACCCCCACTCGCCCACTGACCGCCGACAGGGGGGCCCCGCAGCCCGCCCTGCCCGGGCGCGTGCGGTGTCGCTGTCGAGGGCCTGCCGCCGATGTGCCGGCAACGTGTCGCCGACTCCGGTCGGGAGCCTAGAGACGGGGGTCAATGTAAACGGGGGTCAGCCAGAGCGCCCGATTTTGCAGGATCTTGCAGGGGCAGGGTCGCATTGACCCGGGTCTGGGTGCAGGATCCGGCAGGATCTTTCGCGTTGACCCCGGTCTGAGTGCGGGAGCCTGCAGGATCTTGCAAGGCCTGATTGACCCGGGTCTGGACTGACCTGGGTCAGAAGATCCCCGATCCGGGCCAGCGTGTCCCCCCGGGCCAGCGTGTCGCCGATCCTGGGCCGGTGTGGCCGCTGAGGTCCAAAGGCACAGCGGGAGATCCAGCCGGGAAGCAGTCCAGAGGGAGAGAAACACACAGACACAATGAACCGACGATTCCCCAGAAAATCTGGGAAAATACGGGAAGTGGGGGGGGAAGACAAAAACCCAGAAAGTATGGGGAACTATGGGGGATCCTGTTATTTGTGTGTGTATATTTATTTGTGTGTGTCCCAGGGCCCCTTCAAGCAGGACCTCCCCGCCTCGAACGGAGAAATGCTCCTCGGTCGAACGGGGATTTGTGTCCCGTCGCACGGAGAAACCTTGCGGGCCGCGACCAGGACATGTTCTCGGGTGGGCGAGGACACATTTTCGTGGCTGCGGTTGGGTATGGGGTTGCTCTCCTCCAGAATCAGCGTCGGCGCTGGTTGCGCTTCGGGAGCTTCTCTTGCTAGTCGTTGTTCTGGTGGGCATTGGCTTGCTCCTGTGCTTCTGACTTAGCGTTTGGGGGCGAAGCCTCATCTCATGCCCTCGGCGTGTGGTGGTTGCAGGTGGTCGGGGGAGTGAGGAGGGAGGAGGGAGGAGGGAGAAGGGAGGAAGGGGGAGGGGGGAGGGGGGAGGGTGGGGGGAGGGGGGAGGGGAGAGGGGAGGGGGGAGGGGAGAGGGGGGAGGGGGGAGGATGCTTTCTCTTTGGAGGCTGGCGAGTGTACGGTACTTCAAACCTGCTTTCGTCGCGTTGGGGTTCTCTTGATGCCGCGCTTCATCATGGTGTCTTCGGTGCTCTGTGGCTTGCCCTGGAATGTAGATCTATTCGGCAGCAAATCATGGGAGCCTGGTGTACCCTCTTCATTCCGTCGTTAGCGTCGAGTTGCGTCGATTAGCGTCTGGGAGTCGACGACCTAGCGCCAATTTAGCGTCGGTTAGCGTCGAGTGGCGTCGATTTAGCGTCGATTTGCCTCGACTAGCGTCGACCAGCGTCGATTCGCAAGAGCCGACAAGATGGTACGGGAGGCTCCCATGAGTTGCCACCGAAGATCTATGTGCGCGGCTGCTCGGCAGCCCCGCGCGGAAGTTCTCAAAAGTGGGGCGGTTGGAGTTCTGAGAGGTCCGCTTCCTGCATTATCGTTGGTTTCATGCGTGTTCCCTGTCTTTCGTCTGGTTGACCACTCTTGAGACGGGTTTTTGTTGTTTCCGACGCCATCGATTTCTGGTGACTGCAGGTGTCATGGGTCATCTAGGCGGTCGGGGGGCGACCTCACTCGTGCGTTCGTCATGATCGGGCCCTCTGAAGGGTTCAATGTATGTGCTTGTGTTGCAATTCGTGCACGCAGTCCTTGCGGTCGCGGTGCGCTCGAGGCGGAAAGCTGAAAAGGCTGCTCGCGCTCGTTGTGCATCAGCGGGTTGCGTCGGTGCAACAGTTCTCGTGGCATAGCTTTAGTTAGTAACTGTGTGCTGTGTTATCGTTTGGCTTCGTTGTCGTCATCATCGCGCTGCCGCTTTGAATTGTCATTATTGTGTTCCTGAGTCCTTCGCAGAGCAGCCCCATGCCTGCGAATCTTCTGCCAAATTCAAGGGTTCCAGTCCTAAAGATGAGAGTTCGGGCTGACCGAGACTCTCTCGTCACGGGTCGAGTTTCCGAAATTATCGCTTGCGTCACGATGGGGCTCACGAGGCAAGCTCGGGATGAATGTCTTCCTCGACTTATCCATTTTGCTCCGTTGTATATCGAGACGGGGGGGGCTTCCAGGGAGGGGGATCGGACAAGGGTTGCTGTTCTCAGATGGGGGTTTGATTTTCGGCGACGGCGGCGGGATCAAGCCTTATCGAGGCGTTCTGGCCAGTTCATGTGTTAGGGGGGTTCCTCCAGGAGCATGCGGACATTTCTTCGCCCGTCCGAGGAAAACGTCGCCATGCGCATGGGCGGGGTTTTCCGGTTCGCCGTGCCAGATTTCCTCGCCGTCGTCGTTGGAAGAGGAGGCGGAGGCGGAGGAGAAGGAGGAGGAGGCGGAGGAGGAGGAGAAGGAGGAGGAGGAGGAGGAGGAGGAGGAGGAGGAGGGGGGGTTCCAGGGGAGGAGGAGGAGGGAAGTTCCCTCGCTCGACCGAACAGCTGTCCTCTCGCCTGTCGGCCCTGAGGCAGCCCCCCTTGGCGTCCCCCCGCCTGCTCGGGGTGTCGTCCCTCGGTCCGCGGAGGGCGCCCGGCGCGGGGCGGGGAGGGAGGACGCGCCGCACGGCTCGGGGCCCTCCGGGGGCAGCCTCCTCTTGCAAGCGGGGGCGGGGACGACCCGAGAGCCTGGAGCCTTGCGAGTCGCGGGTGCTGGACCCTCGTGGGCCGTCGTGGAGCTAGGGGGGCACGTGCGAACCCTACCTCTGCCCCCCACCCACGGGAGCTTGAACCCACCCTCCCCCTCAGAAATCGTGGGGGTAGGGGTAGGGTTCGCACGTGGACCCCTAGGAGCGGAGCGGACGCGGCGCCAGGCGAGCCTCCTCCTGCCCTCCTCCTGCGCCCTCCTCCTGCGCTTCCCGCCGCTCCGCTCCGCGCGGTGCCGGGGCGCCCTGCGCTGGAATCTTTTCACTTGTCTGTATTGGTTTGCGTGTCCCAGGGCCCCTGCACTGTAGGTGTAGGGATAGGATGAGGGGGCCAGGGGAAGGGGCAGGATGCGAGGACGCGGGGGCCGTGGGAGCTGGGACAGCTGGACCGACGGTGGGGAGCGTGCGAGGCCGAGGCAGGAGCGGAACGCGAGGGCGGGGGAGGGGAAGGAAGTGGAGTTAAGAGGAGAAGCAGCAACCGGCTCAGAGAGGGAGGGTAAAGAATGTGATAGGGGAGTGGGATGGAGGAAGCGGGGATGAGGGGTAAGTGTGAGGAGACCCAGGAGGGTGAGCAGAGGGAGGAGGAAGAGGATGAGGATGAGGATGCGGATGCGAATGAGGATGCGTACGAGGATGAGGAGGAGGAGGAGGAGGAGTGTGAGGCGGTGGAGGATGATATCGAGGCGGAGGAGGAGAGATAAGAGAACGAACAGTCAGCGTGAAGAGGGGCAGCAGAACCAGGATCGAGTTGACGTGTCGCATTGTGAAGTGAGCCCCTCGGAGGATCCTCCCCCTCTCCTTTCTCTCTTGACGCTTCTCCTCTCCTTCTGCCCTACTCGCTCTCCTTTTTCCCGCCTGCTGCTCCCCTGTTTTCCACCTCCTTGTGCTCTCCTCCCACAGGGGGAGGAGGAGGAGAAGGAGCAGGAGGAGGAGGGAGGATGAGGAGGAGGGAGGAGGACGGAGGAAGAGGAGGATGATGATGATGATGGGGTGTGTGTGTGCGTGAGTGTGTGAGTGTGTGTGTGTGTGTGTGCGTGTTGGTGTGTGTGTCTGTGTGTGAACGTCAGTGTGTATGTTTGTGTGTGTGCGTGCGTGCGTGCGTGCGTGCGCGCGTGTGTGTGTGTGTGTGTGTTTGTGTGTGTGTGCGTGCGTATATGCGTGTGTGGGTGCGTGCGTGCGTGCGTGTGTCCGTGCGTGTGTGCGTGCGTGTGTGCGTGCGTATATGCGTGCGTGTGTGCGTGCGCGTGTGCGTTCGATTCTGCGCGTGCGTTTGTGCGTGCGGGTGTGCTGGCGGGTGTGCGTCTGCGTGTGCGTGATCGTGCAAGTGTAAGTGTAAGTGCAAGTGTACAAGTGTGCGTGTGTGCGTGTGTGCGTGTGTGCGTGTGTGTTTGCGTGCGTGCGTGTGTGCGTGTGGGCGTGTGTGCGTGTGTGCATGTGTGCATGTGTGCATGCGTGCGTGCGTGTGTGCGTGTGTGCGTGTGTGCGTGTGTGCGTGTGTGCGTGTGTCGTGTGTGCGTGTGTGCATGTTTGCGTGTGTGCGTGTGTGCGTGTGCGCGTGTGCACGTGTGCGCGTGTTCGTGTGTGCGTGTGTGCGTGTGTGCGCGTGCGCGCGTGCGAGTGCGTGTGCGTGTGCGTTTGCGTGTGCGTGTCCGTGTGCGTATGTGCGTGTGCGCGTGCGTTTGTGCGTGTACGTGTGCGCGTGCGTGTACGTGTGCGCGTTCGCGTGCGCGTGCGAGTGCGCGTGCGCGTGCGCGTGCGCGTGTGCGTACGTGGTGTGTGTGTGTGTTGTGTGTGAGTCTATGAATGTGTGGGTGTGTGAGAGTGAGTGTGAGTGGGAATGGGGTTGAAAGTGAGAGTGAGTGTGTGTGTGTGTGGGTCTGTATGTGAGTGCGTGTGTGTGTGTGAATGTGTGTGTGTGTTGTGCGTGTGGTGTGTATGTGTGTGCGTGTCGTGTGTGTGTGTGGTGTGTGTGTGTGTGTGTTTGTGTGCTGTGTGTGCATGGTGTCTGTGGTGTGTGGTGTGTGCGTTGTGGGTGGGTGGGTGTGCTTCTGAGTGTGTGTGTGTGTGCTGTGTGTGTGTGTGATGCGTCTGTGTGCTGTTGTGTGTGGTGTGTGTTGTTTGTGTTGTGTGTTTTGTGTGTGGTGTGTGTGTGTGTGTGGTGTGCGTGTGCGTGTGTGTGTGTGTGCGTGTGTGTGTGTGTGTGTGTGTTGTGTGTGTGGTTTAGCCACTCCCGCCAGCGCAGTCACTCTGCCTAGCCGCCGACGCAAGGAGTGTGTGTGTGTGTGTGCGTGTGTGTGTGTGTGTCTTTGCCACATCCGCCAGCTCAGTCACTTTGCCTAGCCGCCGACGCAACAAGTGTGTGTGTGTGTGTTTGTTGTGCGTGTGGTGTGCGTGTGTTGTGCGCGTGTTGCGTATAGTGTGTGTGTGTGTGGTTGCGTGTTGTGTATGTGTTAATGTGTCTGTTTGTGTGTGTCAGTGTGTTTGTGTGTGTGTGTTTGTGTGTGTGTCTGTGTGTGTTTATGTGTGCGTGTGTTGTGCGTGTGTTGTGCGTGTGTTGTGATTGTGTGTTGTGTGTATGTTGTGTGTATGCTGTGTGTATGTTGTGTATGTGTGTGTCTGTGTGTGCGTGTGTGTGTGTGTGTGTGTGTGTGTCAGTGTCAGTGTGTGTGTGTGTGTGTGTGTCTGTGGGTGTGTGTCAGTGTGTCAGTGTGTGTGTGTCTGTGTCTGTGTCTGTGTGTGCGTGTGTGTGTATGTGTCTGTGTGCGTGCGTGTGTGTTTGTTTGTGTGTGTGTGTGTTTGCGCGCGCTCTCCTTCTGATGCGGGGGCCCAGAAGGCCGCATCACCAGGTCTGTGCCTGCGCCCTGGGCTTGTGCTCTCGACGGCCCCCGCGGCTTCACAATGGCCTCCAGGGGCCGAGCAAGGTGTACCGTCGGACCGAGGTATAAGATCGAGGTCGGTTCGGGGAGTGTACCCTGGTGCTCTTTGTGTTTGTTGGATGTTTTTTGTGCATCCTGGGGAGGGTACATGCCCTTGGATGTTCTGCTTGTTTTGGCCCGCAGAGGGTCTCGTGTTCTGGAGGGACGTGTTTCTCGCCCAGGTCCGAGTGTACCCGTAGACGGGCTAACGGCGATGTAGGTAGCGGTGACGTAGGTTTCGGCATTGCGGGGGCGCGTGGCTCACGCTTTCCTGCAATTCGCTGCGTCGTGCTCGCTCGACCCGTTCGCGGATTGGAGGTGTAGGAAAGTGTGGTTCGTGATTTCCTACCATCTGGTTCCCAACATCACCGTTAAGCAGCATCGCTGTTAGCCCAGCCTTGGTGTACATTCTGCGTCTTGCTCTTGCTGCGGCTCGCCCAGGAGAGGCGTGCCAGGGAGGCGGCCGGGAGCGGTGCGGGAGCGGGCAGACGGAAGGCGCCCCCCCGGGAGCCTCAGGCCCTGCGCCGCGACTGACGAGGGCCGGCAGTCGGCCGCTGGGCGCCCTCCCCAATGGAGGAGGGGGAAAGCACCTGTCAGGGGCAACGCACGGGTGATCGTTTTCCTATTCATGGTTTTGCCGATCGGCGCGGGCCCTCGCAACCCCCCCCCTTCCCCCCCCCCCCCTGGAGCCCCTGGAGTAGATCTAGGCTGTTTCTGGCGCCTGGTTCAGGCAGGTGGATGCTCCCCCAACGGATGCACTGTTGCAGACAGTCGCACTGAAACTGAACAGAGGTACGGAGCCAGACCCCCCCCCATCCCCTCCCCCTTCCGCCCGACGTCGGAACGTCAAATCAGAGACCGCTCACATGGGGGGATGGCATGGGCTCAAGCAGGGCTGGACCTAAACGCTGTTTTGCTGGACGTCGGCTGTGTTTGGTTTTTCGCTTTAGCATGGAGATGAAGACAGGTGGAGCAACACGAACAACAAACCGAAAACAAAACCAAACACAACGGTTAGGTCCAGCCCTGGGCTCAAGGAGGGGGGCAACGCGGCGACCTCCAGCCGCTCATCACCTCCGCCGAGGAGCCTGCAGTTTCTCGCCCTTGGGGTCCTGGCGCCAATCTGTCGACGACGTGCCCCCGAGTCGAGGCCCACGGTTCCCCCCCCTGAGCCAGCACCCCCCCCTTTGTCTTGGCATCTCTCGGACGTGTGCATTCTTCCTCCGGCGAGGACCATCGAGGAAAATCCTTGATCATTTGGCGAAAAAACCACGCACGAATCCGAAAAAAGCACAGGGAATGGACGTCCGAGCGATGGCCAGCCCCCCTTGTCGTTGCTGCTTTTCCATCGACGACGAAACAACACCAAGTGGACAAACCTTTGGCGATCCGCGCGGAGCTCCCGCCCTCGGCCGGCGCCTCCGGCGCCACCCCTGGCGCGCTGCGCGCGCCAGGGAGGGGCTCCAAATCGGTTTCGGTTTCGGGTTCGTGTCATGCGTTCGGGCGAGGCGACTCTGCGTGGGCGGGCGGGAGGAATGAATCCGCTGTGGCCAGGGCGGGTTAAGTCAAGACAAACACCACCCCTCCAGTGGACCGGCGCGGCCGGGGGTGTCCCGCCATGGTGTCCTGCCGTGGTGTTCCGCCGTGGTGTCCCGTCGAAGTCACGTCGGTGTCTGCGGGCGGTGGCCAGCGCTGATCCAAGAAATCCGCGCGGAGCTCCCCAAGTTTACGCGTGCGGCGTTCTGTTTTTTTTTGTTGCCTCGGGCATCTGTCATCCACCGCCCCGTCCCACCAGGGGCCCGACGCCGAGAGGGAGCCTCTTCGTCGCGGCCTTCGGCCGCCAGTGGGGCCCTCATGGTGCCCCGCCGGGCCGCCCCTGGCCGCCAAAGCACGGTCCGGGAGGAAGACAGGCTGCACGTAAGAGTGGCCCCTCGCAGGAGGGGTCTTCGGTGCGCGCGAGCGCATGGGCCGCCATCGCCAGACCGCGTGCCGCGGCCGGCGAGCCGCGCACCGACGGCCACGGCCGAACCGATAAGAACAGGCACTGCACTTGACCATAGCCAAAAGGCTGAGAAGGTACAGTGCCGTTTTTAATACATGCTCCGCGTGCGGACCATGTATTAAAATGCGGGGATTCAGTATTAAAAGCAACGATGAGTTCATGCATGAATGTATTCATGCATGAGTCATGTATTACAAGTCCTATATCTTTAAACAAAAATGCCATGTATTGAAAAGTGCCCTGCATGCTGAGCCTTGCACGTCCGCCCCACGGGGCGCCGCCGCAGCTACAACAACACCCTGCCCCCGTCCGCAACTGCTGGCGCAGGCGAGCGCCGCCCGGGAGGGCGGCGGCCCATCCCGGCCGCGGGCAGAGCTGGGCGCCCCCGGCGCTCTCCTCGCAGCTGGCGCGCCGCCTGCCGCGCACGCCCGCCCCGCCCCACGGTGCCACCGCCCCTGGCGGCGGCGGTGGCATCCCCCAAGGGGGCGGCGGCCCATCTCAGTCCCAGCACCGAGGTGGGCCGCCTGTTTTTTTTTCGGGGGAGCGTGAGACTCGGGTTTGCCAGGGCTCGGGTTCGCCATCGTTGTTTGACGACCGCGACTCGGATTTTGACGAGTAGGAGTTTCGTGGGATGTCTGCAGCGGGAGGCCTCGTCAAAATGCAGGCTCGGCCTCGTCATTTTTTTTGACGACCTCGTCGGGGATTTCCGAGTCCCCTGTACCCGGGTCTTACGCCCCCCTGATTTTTGTGGGGCCCTCGGGGCCCTCGGCGCCCCCTCTCCTGGCGGCGCAGCGCACAGCCCCGCCCGGAGGGCCCGCGCAGGGCCCGCCGGCCGCGTGGATGCGGGGCCGCTGGCTGCTCGGGCGCCGCCCCAGCAGCTGGCCGCCCCTTGGCGAGGCCCCGGGCACGCGCACGGGAGCGCTCGCGGCGGTGGATGTCTGGGCATCCCGCTGCTTTACCGCAGCGGCTGCGGGGCCCCTCCTGGCCCTTCCTGGCGTCGGAACACCCGATATCTACGTTCCTGAGCGGCCTGCGGGCCGCGGGCGCTACGAGGCCGGATGGCCCTGGGGCTCCCAAGGACCTCGGAAGTGGGGGGGCCCAGGGACGTGGAGTCCACGCGTTTGTTCCGGACAATGTTCCGGGCAGATTCGTTCCGGACGCGGTTCGTGGCCAACACAGCCGCAGCCAGGGGAGGTTTTGGGGACTTCGTTGGATCCTCAAACAAACCCCCAAACCCTCTAGCGCAAGATGAAGGCGTGGCCTCACCGAGGCCCCCGCGCTCGCAGCAGGCATGGTGCATCTGGGCGGTCTGGTCTGCGGCATCTGCAGAGCAGACCCCCCTGCCCGGGATGTTCTTGGCCCTCCTGGCTTGCGGGCTTCTCCCAGAGGGGGTCAGGGGCCCTGCTCTGGGGTCAATCATTGGAGGCCGCCCGTCGGAGGGGGCCAGCTGTGCACCTGCACTGGTCCTGGCCAGGCCGATCAGGGGCCGAGCATCGGTGCCCGTGCCCTCCTGCCAGGCCAGGAGGGCGTACAGAGCCAGGGCGTTGAAGTAAGGACCACTCTGGGCCCAAGCGCAAGAACGCCCGAAGAAGAAACAGCGCCACACACACAATAAACTTTTGGCGCTCCGCGCGGATTTCTTAGACCACTTCGGAGAGCGCCTCATCTGCACTCATGCTCTGGGCGTCACGGAAGGGGGGCCGGGAACGGACAGAACCCCCTACCTTGACACGCCGATTCGTGACTGGTCGGTCTTCGGTTCTCCAGAGGGCGCCGTGGCCGTCATTCTCCAGGCTTGCGCCCGCCAGGTTTGGGCCCGAGGTCGTTTTTAACTACGTTTTGCTAGAGGGGGTTCTGTCCATCCCCGAATACAGGGTGGCGGGCAGCGAGAGCTGCAGAACAGGTACCACTTAGGGACTCCGGGGGAGGTGGGGCTCCGGCCAGGCCAGGAGCCTGTGGGGGCTCGGGGCAGTGGATCGGATGCTTTCCCGCTTCTCAAGCAGTGGCGAAGCGTCCTGGCTCGCCTATAGGTCCACCAGGGAATGGTCTAAGAACCTTGTGTGTTCTGCGCGAACTGTTCTTGGAACAGTTCTGGCTGAGTCTGTCTTGTTTTAACGCATCGGGTCTATGTTCTAAGAACATTATCCGTAAGGGCTTCGCCCCCTGCCGCTGGCCCCCTCTCTCGGAGAATGGGCCATGGAAGAGCTAAGTCATGAGGCCTTGGCGCTGTCGTGAAGCAGTATCGAAACTTCATGCGAAGCCGATTCGCAATCAGCAAAACCAACTGATCACAAGAGGGGTTACCACACCTGGCGATTGGTAAGACGTGTATGGTTTACGGGCTTGGTTACCACACCTTGCGATTAAAGGGCCGAGGGAGTTCTCGCAGTTTGGGTTACCACGCCTTGCGATGGATGTGCGTGAAGGGTGGCACCGAATTTCAGAAATGTGCAAATCCCCTGTGTTTTTGGACCCTGACCCCGCGGATCTGCGTGAGGGGTGGCACCGAATTTCAGAAATGTGGCAAATCCCATGTGTTTTTGGACCCTGACCCCGCGGATCTGCGTGAGGGGTGGCACCGAATTTCAGAAATGTGGCTCTGCGTGAGGGGTGGCACCGAATTTCAGAAATGTGGCAAATCCCCTGTGTTTTTGGACCCTGACCCCGCGGATCTGCGTGAGGGGTGGCACCGAATTTCAGAAATGTGGCAAATCCCCTGTGTTTTTGGACCCTGACCCCGCGGATCTGCGTGAGGGGTGGCACCGAATTTCAGAAATGTGGCAAATCTCATGTGTTTTTGGACCCTGACCCCGCGGATCTGCGTGAGGGGTGGCAGCGAATTTCAGAAATGTGGCAAATCTCATGTGTTTTTGGACCCTGACCCCGCGGATCTGCGTGAGGGGTGGCACCGAATTTCAGAAATGAGGCAAATCCAATGTGTTTTGGACCCTGACCCCGCGGATCTGCGTGAGGGGTGGCACCGAATTTCAGAAATGTGGCAAATCCTATGTGTTTTTTGGACCCTGACCCCGCCGATCTGTGTGAGGGGTGTCGATTTCGAGCCCCCCCAGCAATTCAGACAACGCGCCCAGGAGGTGCTAAATATCTGGTTTGGGCTTCCCCCCCCTCGCGCGGTCAATCAACTAGTTACAGTAACCAGCAAGAAGCAGAACTGTAACACTGGAAACTACAAGCTACAACTGGTACAGGAAACTGCGAATCCCGCTCCTACAGCCTGGTGGCCCCACAAGGGGGCCGGCGGATTTTTGTTCTTAGAACATGCGTGTCTGGATTCGAAGAACATGTCGTGGTAGGCTTATAGGAATGCTGGGACGGTCGGTCCCTGCTCAAGGTTCGAGGCCTCCCAAACGGGGTCTGAATAGATGTGGTCGGAAGACTGCACCACATCGCTGAGCGGAACGATGTGGAGCCCGATGTTCTCCACGGCGACGGCACTGATGCATCACCGACGTCGCTGATTTATCGTCGATGTATCGGCGATGCATCGGCGATGTATCGGCAAAGTATCGTC